AGTCATTTATTTTCAAAGAAGAGAGATCTTAGCGCTTGACAATGTTTATGTATAAATTTGCAGATACGTTCTTCAATTCTATAAATAATAAACAAGATTCTTCTTTTTATTCAATTTATTATTCTTTATTTATCAATCTAAAAGGCGTTTATAATAATTTATCTTTTTTTAAATTGCATTAGTAATCATGTTGCGGATAAAAAAGGATGATATTGATAAATTATACATTTTTCAATGATCTAATCTTAAACATCATTACATCATGCTACGTTCATATTTCTGCTTATATTCTTCTTTAATAAACCTATTTTCATTTTTAATTTGAGTCTGTTTCTGCTTAAGACGTCATCTTCTATGCTCCTTTACTATAATCGGTTTTAACGATCATTGGGCATTGTCCGTTACTGAATACGTGTCAATCGATCTATGCTAGTCTGTACAAAATACCAATCAATAAACATACGGCTTTACTGACTATAGTCGATGAGTGACAAAAGAAGCCAAGTCGAGTTACGTATCAGCACAAACATCGATCAATCATTCAATTTCAATCTTTGTGCGTACATAGAGAAATTTCTGAATTTATATTAAAAAATATTTTGAATTGCACTTTAATATTCGTCGTTATTAAATATCAGGCTTATTAAATCTGTTAAATACCGCTGCCAACTAACTTTGACTTTACGTCACAATAGCTTTACGCTATAGCTTTACTACTTGTATATACTAAATTTAATTATGTAGACACGCGGCTTTACACCAAGCAGGAAGCATACAAGTTATGCTTTTAGACGTCTGTGCTGTGCCAGCAATAGTCTGTATGCTGTAAGGTTTCTTCTACTTTAAAAATTCTCCGCACGGTTCAGTGACCACGTAGTGTACGGTAGATATAGAAGCTACTCTATACCCGATTCTCCAACGTCAACACTAGGGTTGCCATTTCACGAGGTTTAAAAATCCTGAGATCGTAGCACGGAGATGAAGTGAGAGTAGGAGCAGAGGAACCGCGTTTCCACTGAATTTTCAAGTCAAACATAAAAAAAAATTGTCAATATTTTTTTACCACGTATCTAAGATAAACGCGCGAACGTAAATCACAAATATTTAAATTAAGTATACAAATTTATCGCAGTTTGCATATTAAATCAGTAATTATTCCTTTATATGTTAACATGATCTGAGGCTTATGGAATATTTCGCACAAAAAAATTAGCTTTATGATCGGTCCTGAACTTCGCGATTATAATCCATTCATCAATGTTACATCGGGCAAACATGATGTATTCCCTCGCGTTAGTTCCCACAAGCATCAAATGCGGTTCCATATATCATAAGTTTAAGATATCGAACCATTTAACTGTTATCCAAAGATGTTTGATGTTATCAACTAAATACGTTTTATTCTTAAAAAATTGTTTCGCGTCGTATAAAAACAGGATTGTCACAAATTCTTTATCATAGAATTCAATAACTTTTCTCCATTTCCAAATGATTTTTTTTTATGTTTTCAATAATATTTTTAATTTTTCTTGTATTTTTGTCCTAATTTAGAAATCGTCAAATATTTTTTTGTTGCTGGAGAAATTTAACACAGCAATGTAAATTATTATTAAAATTACTGACACTGATTGCATTTAATATTAAGTTAGTAGTATTTTAAAACTACGTAGATATGATATACACATATTAACATAAATTTCTTTAAAGTCAAGAATTTTCATTTTCCAGAAAATTGTTCAAAATTCTCTAACTTTCCTTAATTTACCCTAATTGTTTTCCCTGACATTTCTCTGATTTCTCTGATTTCCAGTTTTGTAGTAACTATGTAAAAACAACAATCAAATCAATACAGAATCTAAAAAAAAAAAATTAATAGAAAAAAAAAGTAATATAAATATCTAACCATTTTATTATTCTATAAAATATCATGCTGTTTGATGCTATCAAAAATGCAACAATTTGCATTTATTTTTTTTATTACGTGCGGTTAATTTTCATCCGTGTGTATCTTGCGTGCAGTGATGGTCATTCTGCGTCAGCATTTGCGAATTGCGAATCATGCAGAGGCACTTTGAAAAACAACTAAATCAATTCAGATTCAAAAGAAATCAAAAGGAAAAAAGAAAGTGGTATAACCGAGCGATATTGTAGAATTAAAGTTCCCGCATAAGATGTCATATTTCTTTAGAACCCCAACTGTTTTTAGCAGTTCCCTTTTTATCTTTAATTCAATTTTATACGTTAGGGAAGAGGATATAGACAGAGAAATCCGAGTTTAACGATACGGTAACGATCTACTGTTTATAACGAGGTCCTTCCGAAGGCTGTTCTCACGAATCGGTCGGAATGCAATACTTCCCGAACCGTAAGCGGCCACTGCGGTTCGATAGGTGCGGGATCGATGGCCGAATAAACAGGGCGAACGCGGCGCGGCGAGAATCGATCCGTCTCATCCCCATATCGATATCGGATGCCGCGTAGCGCATTCGTTAGATTGCACCCCGGAGCTGCAAGTCCGGCCTGACGTAACGAGGCGTGCGAACAGCACGGCACGGCACGGCGTGACGCGACGCGGCGTGCCGTGCCGTTCCATGCCGTGCTGTGCAGTATCGTGCCGTGCCGTACCATACCGAGCAGAACGGAACGAGCCGAAAGCCAGAGCGCATGTCGATGCCTCGAGCGGCAGCAGCCAATGGACTGGCTAAAATATTAAACGGGAGCAAAGACCCTGTTCTCGTACGCCACGTAGCCGCGTTCAATTCCTGAGCCAGTCTCTCCAACCCCTGCCGCAACGGGGGATCGAAAGTGGAAACAGACGGTTGTAGCCAGACTCGTTGCGCCGCGACAGTTCGGACCGGCACTACTGGCGACATCCGTAAGCTTAGGCGAGAAAAGAAGAGGGATGGTGCGCGATCGGTCGGCATCGGGGGTGAGTAAACTTTAATCAGGAATAGAAATAGAAGTTTATATATAAACCAAATGTAGGTTGAATAGCATAAGACATTATTTTAGATTTAAAAAATATTATATTGGCTCAATTTAGAAAGATAAAAATAGTTCACATTATATCCTTACTTTTTCTCTGTTTTTTTTTTAATAAGATTTTAAACAATTTTTAATAACATAGTATACGTACATATTTCCATGGGAAATTTTGTGTTTAAACGTCAAGTTAATGTATTCTTAATTAAATAATTATAAATAATTTATTTAAATAATTTCAAAATGGAAAGAAACGCGAATTCGTTATATTTGTACACATATAATTCGATATAGTATTCTTATCTTCGATTTATTTCCGCTTTTCCGCAATGTGAACTTATTGTGGCTAAAGTTGTAGGAAGTACACACATTAATGATATAATACATTTTGCACCGGCACAGTTTTACGCAACGTGCTACCACGTGTAGCACAAACACACACACACACACACACACACGCGTGCGCGCATGATCGTCTTGATATAATAGACGTTAAAGTTCGGTAGATTGTAATCATGCTAAATTGTCTTTTCTTATTTCCAAGTTGGATAATAGTGTTAAACTTCAATGGTTATTGTCTCGAAACAATAGTGTTGTGCTCACAATAGCTCTTATTATTATGTAACGTATATATTACCTATATATTCACAGCTATATATTCAACTTGTCGATCTTAAGGATTATTTGATTAATTTTACATTAAAATAAATCGTTTTTGATATAATATTAGGTGTTGGAATTAATTCGTAGCGTTTTACAAGTGATGGGAAGTACTTTCATTAATGTATTTTTTAATGCTCATGTGAAATAAATAACATTCTTTCATTAAAAACGCTACGAATTAATTCCAACACCTAATAATTATAATAAATTTTTTATTTTGTGGAATCAAAGTCTGATTTCTCTATTACCATCACTGAAATGATTTCGCGAAAATTCATTCGATTAAATAGAATTTTCAGCAAGATTGTGAATTTGGTATTTCTGAAAGTTCAAGTTAATCGACCTTTAATTGATAATTTCCCAACTAATAGATCATAACGTATTATCGATTTGACTTTTATATATATTACATAAGAATGAATAATCGAGAATAGATATAATAGAATGAATAATCAAACGAATATGTATATCTATAAATATATTATTACACGTGTAATGAAAAGTATTGAAAAAAATGGTACATGGTCCTGAATGGTCGCCTTTAATGACTTTCGTGAAATACGTTCTAAAATAACACGGTCTAAAATGGTTGAATATCGAAGCATGGAAAAGAGAAAGGGTGTAACGTAAGCGACGTTATGGCGTTTACTTTTTACAAAACGCAACAGCACTCGTCGTTCACATGTGGTCGACCGCAAAAAAGATCGTCACATTTTTTTTCAGCGAGTTTCGGCACGTACTAGAATTTCAACATCCCGTGTCGCCGCCTATTTCAGCGCAAAAATTTTGTCAGAAAAACTGTGCGTTTGCACGTGATACAGTCTATTTAATAGGTCACGATTTATACTGCTTTGCATGTGATCATACGAAAATTACGCGTGTTTGAACAAGGACGCAGAACAACGATACTTCGATGACAAAACCATTGTTTGCAACTGTTTTTTTGCTACGTGAAAATGTTTTCGAAATACTATCGAATGAGATAAAGTTATAATTCACTAAGTTTTATATTAATTCATATCTAACAGATATCGCGATATTATAACAGATATATAACTTGTGCTCTACATCCATAAATACAGCGAACGGATCTAATATAATTTTGAGACGTTTATCAAATCACGGATAGAGTCATAAATGTTTATAATTAAATACTATTAACGAGAATATGTGAAAATGTGTGTTATTGGTTTACTGTATTCCACAAAATTTATGTTACATGTTTAAAGTGTGACATGAGACAACATTACGTTTATAGCAATTATACATCGCTAATGAAAACATCATAAATATTATAAAATGGAGAATAAAATTTCATTGGATTTTACATATAAATGTGTCTTCTTTTTCGCTTGTTATTTTGATGCTTCTACGTTAATGGAGCGATGATATACCTTTGGTGATCTACTACGACGCCACTCGGATTGTTCCTAGAGAGATTATTATTAATAAAGTTATATATATAATGTTTGTATAATACATACATTATCAGCATAATAATCGGATATAGACTATCAACAAATTTTAATGACAATATTCAATTAATGTAATATACATTACTATTTCATGTCAATGATTTTATCAATAATAAATATTTTATTAGGAGATAAATGAATTAATTTACACAATATAATGCTGCATGTATCGCGGAAAAGATTCGTCACATATTGATTAAAAGAAGCTAAGCTAAAGCGGAAAGTTCCTGACTTGCACAATTTCATTATTTCATCAATACCAATCAATATTATCGAACAGAAAATATCATTTGGTGATAAGAATGTGATATTTATAGAAATTTGCGATATCGTCTTATTAATGATACTTTCGATGACTCACTAATCTGAAAGTTTACGTTCAACGTTGAATATCAATTTTATTGTCGGCAAGAAATAAATATATGACACGCTTAATTAAAGCATCGAAATATCCGCGTTCAGAAAGAGTTAACAAAATGAGTAAAAATATATCTCGTCGCGAAAGATAAAAAATCGGATAGCCACAGAAAGGTCTAAGATAGGGTCGAATCTAATTTTATGTCTGCCAATTGAGCGCGATTGCCTGCCGAGACTGATCTAATGTTCGACGCAACGACCGAAAGTTGCAGAGGCCATGATACGTTTATACGACCTTTGGTAATTCAGTGTTTATAGGTCGCCCTCGCGTGTAGCGAAAGAGATACTCCTTTCTATCGTAATAATATCCCACGCGTATACGCGGAAAATCGCATAAATGCGTTTTATTAAATCTCTCATTCATCGACGACGGCAAAATTTTAATTAAAAGCGAGTTCGCGATTGGCACACAGATTATTCGTAACCCTTTGTAAGAGTTTCTACGAGTTTCATCGTATTCATCTCTGCGATCTGCGGGTTATTAAATTATTTAAGGTTGATGATCGCGCGTAAATTCTGAATAGGGTTGCGAGTGAGCTGTGGATCGATTATTTTTATCAATAGCGTTGAATTAAAAGGTGACAAAGGATATACGTCTGGATAGCGTTCAATTTTGGAACAGGAATTTTTTTTATTTACTCTAGTAATAACGACCCGACCGCACAATGTATCCCATTTATCGTGACAAATAATTTACCTCGGGCTTCAATAACTTCTCGATACACGACATTTTGCTGTTCATTATTTCCAATTCCAATTGCTCTTTGCGTAACTGTTACGACAAAATCCGGATATCCGGACGTTAAAATATAATTAGTAAGAGTAGCGAACGATAGATTATCGAAACCTACCATTTTCTTCGTTTTCTCTTGAAACACGTTCATTCGTTGTAACTAGAGATTGAAGTTATTAGCATAGTGTGACGAAGAAAACGTTAATCGTATCCTTTAAAAAATTTTTAATATACTTACATGCTTGTGAATACATTTATACGGAGGTATGATGCTAACGACACTTTCCATTCGTGGTAACTTCTACAAATTATTGGCAATTGATGCTTTTAAAGTGTGGAGGTTCAATATCGCTCTAGCTTCGATCAAACTTCAGTTTAGCTGTGATTGCCAAAATTGCCTAACTTACCTTCTCCGCTTTTTCGAACAATTCACGAAAAAGTGTATTGTTCAACGTCATCATATTTAAACCCTGGCGTGAAAACATTAAATATTTAAGACAATTAATATATTAAATTAAATTTCATTTTATTAAATTAATCTTTCTATTTTTTTGTATTTATTTCTGATTCTGTATTAATATTCCCTATTATCGTATGCTTATCTTGTTAAAAATAGTAACAAATTGTTATAAAATTATCGCGTGTTTTCTGAAGAGAAACTATTTATTTATCAAGAACATAAATGTCATGAAATAAAGATAACAGCGGATAAAAGGTCAGTAAAAACTTTTATGTGTGTGTGTGTGTTTTGCAAATTTTGTTTTGCAAGTTCAAAGTTGTAATTTCTGAACGTCATTACGTCGATAAGGATTAAAGCAAACGTTATTGCGTGGGAGATATGTAGCTGAAACCCTCTTCGTCAAGATTGAAGGCATATGATATATTTTATATTTATGTGTAAGAATTATATTTGTTACAACGTGACACGTGCGCGGACATATCAGTATTCAAGTGATTGCCCCGCAAAGTTGTTTACATTTTCTTTAAGCCAGCAAGAGAGTTTGGCGCTGGCAAGGTTTTCGAAAGATACGTGACTCGTTTTCTTTCGTTACGGTATATATAACGGTGAGCATTATCTATTCAAAATCTGATCACGATACGAAAGGGAATATATCGATAATTCCGCAACGTCGATCGTTTATTGTTCCTTGATTAATTACACGCTGAAATAATATTATTACGTTGGATTTAAAGCAAACAATTAATTATAGAATCGTGTACTCGTATTGTCATGGCGTTTTAATTATTGTATCGAGTCATACGGTATCATATGCAAATTAATTGCCAGAATAATAAGCTCACTTGAATTTTCTCTACCAAACGAATAATTCGTAGAAGCTTTCATGCTTGTTATTATGAATAAAGTTAATGAACAGACTAGTTTTTAACGACTAATATGAACTCCTTTTATTAATTATCTGATAAATTTTATGCTCAATAAAATAAAATAATTGCTACATGCACGAAAAAAGTAAAGCTATTCTATTATCCTCTAATCTCTATTGTCCTCTAATTAAAATTATTCTATAATAAACTCACCGCTATCGAACAGATGGCGATAATTACTACAAAGATGAAAGTAACAAAAGTCACCGTTCCGCAATAAGCACTTAAGTTGAAGAATCGTCTTAGATTATAATCAGCGATGAGAAATCGGTATATCTGAAAGCACGATTCGCGTGAAAAATTAAAGTTCCCGAAACCAGGTTAACCTAATCGATCCGCATTTCTGACCAGCGAATTCAAACCGTATCCGGATGTTCGATAGTACTTGTACAATCTAGTGTCGTCCATGATGGGGAGGGCGATAACTACCGAATAATTTGTCGAGATCGCGCCACGATACCGCGTCGATGTTCGGGGAGAGATCGCGAGAACGGTCAGTCTACCATTTAAACGAATGTTTGACAGGAGATGGTGGTACGCATCGCGATCGATCAACAAACAAGTGATGGTAAACAGACGAATTGCTGTGGCATTGGTCAAACAATACGCACGATTCAACATTCTTTTATAAAGATGAAAAAAATATATCAAATGTACGCCTCTTTCGAAAAATAATTGTAAAGCTACTTTAAAAGAATCAAATATAAATAATAGTATCTCTAATTTTCCTTAAAAAAATAATGACATCGTAGGAGTGTAAATTTAACAGCAAATTAGTATTTAACGATTTGAAGATAAAAATAAAGGTAGAATTTATATTCAAATTTATATTTAAATGTATTCAATAAATTATTAATTGTAAATGACAATGTGTTCCTTTTTTTAAAAAAGTAATCAAAAGATTTCGATCCTCTGTATATTTTATACGTCATCCTTTGATGAAACTATTGAACATCGTTTAACAGCTTGACGCACTTCAATATTATAATTAATTAATTTTCATACTCTTTCACCTCTGGGTAATTTCGCTCGACTTTCTTGCATTTCTCCCTGCCTCTTCAGTATTTACACGAAAGCTACTCCCTCGCGTTTTGAAGTTCGAGCATAGTTCGTGTCAGTCGCGTTCGTTACGTGTCATTAGGATCCTCGTGAAAGGTTTGTTTAGTTTTGCGTGCGCCACCAATATTCTTCTCGCGAAGTTTCCTGGCATAATTTATAACCCACGGCATTTGCCTATGTGTATACGTAACACGGAATGCGTTATTGAGTCATAAAAGCGTAGCGTTAGATGGAGGAGCATTATCCATTCAGCTTTCTACTTTGATTGTGTCAAAATTAAATTTATGCGAAGATATTTAATAATATAAAATTATTAATCACGTCTGTATCCAAAATATTAATATATAACGAAATATTATTATTAATATCTATATTTTAAACATAAAAGTTACTTATAATATAATTAAACGTGAGATTCTGAAGTAGAAGGATAAAATTAAATCGCCGCGATATTGTCTTAACATATTATTGTAAATGAATCAAAAGGAACGTTTTTAGTCGCAAAAAATTTAAAAATATATTTTAATGTTCTTATATAATATATGAAATTGATTATCTATATATATAGTATGAGTAAACATAAATAACAAGATCAATTTTGATTAACTCTTGTCGATCGGTAACCTCATTCGGGGTCACCTTCTTTTATTTTATAAATTGCTCTCTCGATTTTTATAAAACTTGGCTTATGCAATAATTTGATAATATCGAGAATAATATTTTATTCGTATTGAGACCAAAAATAAAAAAATGACAGATTCAATATGGTGGACAGAATTTAAAAAAAATAATTTTATGACCTTGGTTTTAAACTGCGATGTGATATCAACTCTCCAGTTTTACATCAAGTTCATCAATGCTACATAAACATTTAACTGACTTTCAAACTGATTTTCAAACTCTAATTATGAGTCTTTTGCCACTATATTCTCTTTCATAGAGGTTACTACATTTTTAAAATTTGATATTTTCAAGCTACATTCAAACTCAGAAATATCAAAAATCTAAATTCGAATTTAATGATATAATCAGATTTTTTTGAAATTTGAACTTCAGAATTCTGAGGGCAGAATTGGAAATGCAGTGATCTTTAGAAAACAAGATTTTCTTTAAATTAATATTGATAAAAAGCTCCGATTCAAAAGATTGATATAAGTAGTGAGAGATTAAAGTATAAATATTGCAAGTTTAACACTGAATGCAACAATAAAAATAATGTATTATTTTAACATAATGTTTTTTTATATACACTTTGCACTAAATATGTCCACCAATCATTGTTATTATTATTATAGTAAATAAAAAATTACTGTTTTCTATACATTTAAGTAATTTTAATATTTATATTAAAAGAAAATATTCGACATATTTAACAATACTCAAAAAACAATATGCTCTAGAAATTAATACAAGTTGATTTTACTTTGTACTATTTAATTGTATTTTATGTTTTACTTGTTCAGGATAAATGAAAAGTTTTAGTTTGCATAACACATATCGCTATTTTCAGTCGAAATTTTACGTTCTTTTCCTATAGAGTTCTCTTAACTACGATGGATGTCAAGGAGAAAGAAAAAGGAATATGAGGAGGAGAATGAGAAGTACGTGAAAAAAATATGTAATTAAAATCCAACATTGTGAATGAGATGCATTTCGAGCGTGGACGAAGAAATCAAGATGAGAAGACGAAAAAATTATCCAAGATAGACGATGGCAGATAGGATAGAGAAAGACGAGTGTGCAAAAAAAAAAGATTACGATTACATGGACAGAGAAAGAGAGAGCGAACCAAAGAGGTTGAAAAAAAAATGTGCGACAAGCACACGTCGTGCGCTTGCCGAAAAAAGATGAGCTTCGTCAGAGCAAACGATGACAAACTGAAAAAACTGGAAGACATTTTCGTGAAGTTTATAAAAATAAAAAAAAATATTCTCCAATTTAAACTCGGTTGATATTATGTAATATTAAACTGCTATTCAATATTCAAACATGTTACTGTATTTAAATTCTAAACCAAACATAATTTCTGGAAAATTAAATAAATTTTTGATTAATTATGGCAAATTTATTTTAAAACTTAAAATATAATAATATAATAAAATATAATAATAAATGTATGTATATATATATATATATATATACATATATATATATACAATTCTATTATATTAATAGCGTATACGAAAACATCTAAAACAAGTAGATGGGAGAATATTAATATTCATTAATTTAATGGAATATAATAACCGATAAATAATAATTAAGACTTTGTCAAAGACTCGTATTTTCTTTCAAAGTTAACGACAAGCTAAGAAACAAATTCTTGAGGTGAAGAATTAGAAAAAGTGTTTTTAAATGTTTTTTTTTTAAGTACTATCGAAAATACTTGGAAGGTTTATATAAAATTGTTTATAAATATTATTATTCATATTACTTTATAAATATTATTATTTATATGTAACGTATTTATCATTTTCAAACAAAGATGATTCCTTGCTGAAAAAGTATCCAATGAGAATTCTGTTCAAAGGACTAAAGATACGCACGGCCACTTGGGGCTTATCCCTTATAGACGTGATTCGACTTGCCTCGGGTGAATCCTGATTCTATCGAAGATATACACGCGCCTAATCCCGAGGCCTATGGCGTCTTCACCGGATTATTCGAGTCTCTGATTGAGGTCCCTGTATTACGTTTTAGGACTGACGATGTTCATTTCGACTTGGATTGGAAGCGAACCAGAAAAACTAAGTAATTTTATCCCAGAGAAAAGTAAAGTACATAAGTTCGTTGCGTAAGGCCGATCAAGAGTTATCCACTCAATTCTGATACGAGATTCACTATCGCGAGTTAAAAAGGAAGATGTAATGGATTTATGAGCGATTTAAATGGTTCTTAGAGTTTTGGCTGTTTTTCAAATTATTGTGTGAGTTAATAATCTCATCTTCACAATTTTGCAGGGCTCGATAAAATAACCGACACAACTTATTTAAAATAAAAAATAAAAAATAAGTTTCAAAAACTTATTTAAAATATAAAATCGTAAAAGTCGGTAAAGTAATTGATACGACTTATTTAAAATAAAAAATATAAAATAGGTTCCAAGAACTTATTTGAAATATTAAATAAGAAATAGGTCACAAGAAATTATTTAAAATATAAAATAAGAAATAGGACCCGAAAATACATTAATTTATTTAAAATATAGAATAACTTTTATTTAAAGTAGAAAAATGACTTGTCTTTTATTTTAAATAAGTTTTCGAAGGCAATTTTTTATTTTAAATAAGAAATTATTTTCAAAAATCTAAAATAAGAAATATAAAATAAATAATTAAAATATAAAATAAGAAATATATATTTTGAATAAATGTTTTAAATAGTAAATACAAAATATTTTAATGATTTTTAATAAATCAAAGCTTATTAAGCCTTGACTTATTGATTATATTGCGTGCCACACGAGTCTATTTTTCTATTTTTATTTATTTAAATATATGAATATACATTTATAAGTATAACGTTTCAGTTTTTTTTATAACTATAGCTTATAATTAATATTTAATAGTATTAATCCTTCGCAAATCACAGATGGAAAATTGAAATGAATCATATGTGGGTATATTTTGTGTATATACCCCATACATGCTATATTTCATCATATAAATATACTATAATTTATATAACTATTCACTGTCATTTTTACTGACGGATCGGTAACATAATTAATACAATTTACTTAAAATATAAAATAAAAAATAGGTTTCAGAAAATTATTTAAAATACAAAATCGATAAAAAACTGATAAAAGTTATTTAAAATATTAAATAAGAAATAGATCAGAAGAAGTTATTTAAAATAATAAATATTAAATAACGTTTTTATTTTTTCTTTATTTAAAATACATATTTTAAATAAATTTATTTGAAATAAAACCGAGCCCTGCAATTTTGTAATTAATAAAAGAGAAACGTTTGATAGAAATTTGAGAAGTCTTATCGTTCTATAAGAACTCGTAAATAAAATTCTTCCTCGACTGCGTTCCGTCTATTGAACTATAAAGCAAAACAAAGCAGAGGTCGTCGCACTTGGGGCTTCTCTGAAGCACTAAATCCACCATTGGTAGAAATCGCGCGCGCGCGCGTGATTTATCCCAAGAAAATGATTTCTACAATTATAGTTTTATATCGCTTAGTTTGGCGAAGGGGAATTAAAGCTACCATAAGAGTGAAGCTACAAGATAGCTTTTATAACATGATTATCCTGTGGTTCCAGGTACAGGAAGCTTTAATCTCGTTAAAGAATGAACTCAAAGGGACCTATTACACGCTCAGAACATTAGACAAACAGATCCGGCAACAATTACTGGATGATCATTTCCTGTTCGAGAAAGGTGACAGATTTCTAAAAGCAGCGAACGCTATTAGATTTAGATTAATAGATAAGTTCCTTAAAGCAATAATGTACAACTAATATCAATAACATTATATTTTCTTATTTGCCTACATCTGAAATTAATTTCAATGTACATGTAATTCAGCTTTGGTGATAAATTAAATTGCACAAATAAACTAAAATTATCGCCCATCTTATTTATGGTAGAAATTGGATGGCATTTCGAATGTATTCCATTTACGTTGACTGCGCGCTAAGAGCTAACTTCAACGACTAATATTACACGGGGTCAAACTTCGATCCGACCGTAGTTGCTTTCGTTAAAACATTCAATTACAATGTCTTAAGTTCCTTCAGCCTACTCAAAAACATTAATCCCCCGGTAAGCCATACACCCCAAATCGAGGATTTATGTTGAAACGAAGATTAAACCAAAACTTTGCCAAGATTAAAGCAAGTTCTCTAAGAGAATAAGCAAAACGATTACGCGTGCGTATATCAGCAAACGTTTCGATCTGCAAACTGCAACGTGCATTTTTAAGCAGTTTCAAGCTTTAATCAAGCTTTTTATACCCACATCTTATTACACCGTACTTTAAATAATCATTTAAGTTATAAATCTCCCACGATGTCCGTGTAAACAATGTATTCTACGGTGTAACGTCTTACGTATGTGGTACAAGGACGGCGAACAGCTGATTAAATAAATTTGCATTAATGATTTTCGTCACGATGAGGTCTCGAAGATCCCTTCGCCTCTCGGATTAGAGAGTTAAAAGGGTTAGAAGGTATTATGGAGCTTAGTGTTACGGAGCTTAGAAGAGGGTGTGGTGTGCAGTGCTTGAGAGTTTTCCGAGAGAATCGAATGTTTCATTGAATTCTTTTTTTTTTCGTTTTTATGAGCCGTTCCAAATTACGTGAAATGTACGAGATGTGTTCAGAATCATTAATTCGTTATTATGAAAAATGAGATACGAAAGAGTTTCTGGCTTTTTCCCAGTCGAGTCTTGTTTGTGTAATCATTTAGTAATCATTTTGCGTAATCATTCCGATTTTGAAAATATATACATATAGATTTATATAACGGATGGATAATCCAAGTTACATTTATTGTAAATGAATTTAAGTGGAAGATAAAATGAATTATCACGTTAATTAAAAAAAAAACATTTCATTTTTCATCGCCTGTCGAACAAAGGATCTCGATGCGCCCTTTTTCTCGCGTTTACGCAGAACGCATCTGCAGTTATGCTTAATTAACAGCATCGTAACTCTGTTGGGTTTTCCTCTTGTTTCCCTCATTTGACGTTGTCGCTAATATTAATTAAATGTGCAATGTACAGAAATATGATTCGCCATAGGACAAATTTAATTGCGTGCTTTGTTTCGTCTATCTATTGCATATCTCATCGTTGTATTTCTTCTTTTCCATTTGCATGCATTGCACTCGATGGAGATTACCGCGTTGCCTGCTTGTTACTCACAGATAATCAGAATCGTAGTCGGATCTATTTTTCCTTTTAATAAAGAGATACGCTCGACCGGTCGAATCAATACGGATTAGCCTTTGAACACACTAATAGATTAAAGTGCATGGCGCTCTCGGTTTAAGTTCATCTGAATATTAGACTTTTCATATCGTATACCTTACATGAAATATTACCTTATGGTTATAATTTAATTTAAAAAGCGCTTATTCCAAATTAACTGACTTTTATTCAATTTCGATATTCACCGATTTTATATTCGTTATTGAATTTAATAATATTTACAGTTTATTAATTGGACTACAAAATAGATAAATTGCGAGATCTATAAGTGAGATATTTTTGATAAAATATAAATAAGATTTAAGCGGGAATAAAACAGGTTTATTCTCTTAACATATATTTGCGCGATATTTTTAGATAAAGTTCACGTTACGAGCACCACATGTGATAAACGCACACGAAAAAATCATTTTTTCAAATTAAAATGCAAGTGGGTGAGGTAACTTTCTAACTTTCTGAACACGCGTTTGCAATGTAATATCCCTTGACTAAAAATACAACGATCTCGGTTAAAGGTTAAACGGAATTGCCTCCTTGCGACCTATTCATTATCTTTTCCGTATTACAAAGAATTCAGTATAATATTTATACACACACATGCATATACAACAAAACTATCTACACAAATACTTAAGACAACAGAATATAATAGAAGACCTTTTCCGATTAAAGAAGAACATGGCATCCCGGTTGAAAGTTCAAGAGATGTAAAACTATCACGCTTGTTTGTATCATGCTATTCTCTCCTTCAGGTACAAGGATATTTTTTAACGAGGAGAAAACTTTCCTTGTCTGACGAAACTTGGAGGATCACATGCGTCTGATATCGATGGAACGAGATGGTAACCTCGCGGCGGTGTACGAGAGACTCGTTAAAGTGGTCCAAGAAATCGAGAAGAAATTGGAATTCCTACGGTGCCGAAGACTCGGCTTCCTTACATTTTGTTCTACGAATCTTGGCACAGCCATACCGGCCTTCGTGCTCGTTCACCTGCCAAAATTCAGCGGGATTTTATCAACGAAGAGATCGCGGTCTTCAGGTGAGAACGACGATATTATATGGATAGAGGTCAACCATTTGATATGACGAATAAATATTATAGTTATTCGATAGATATGAAGAAGCGATCACGAACTGTTACATTTCACAAAATCTAATTTATTTGAAAATTAAATATTTTAAATATGTTTTTTTTTAAGTGATATTTACTTATAAAATTTTATTCAAAATATATATTTTAAATTTTATGATTTCCAGCAAGATCTTAATTTTACATTTTACTTATATTAAAATAATATATTAAATATATATAGTTAATAAATATATATATATATATAATAAATTCAATTTTTTTATAATATAAGAATCTAAAAAAGATTCGTATTTAGAGATTATTTAATCAATCGGATTAATGATTCTCTCTCATATGGATTCTGTTTTATAAATAGAATATTTATAAGAAAGATATTATTTGAATTCAACAGCTTACAAAGAAGTTTCAAATAAAAATTTAATTACTTTTCCAAAATAATTTTCTTTTTTAATAAGATTTAGTTTAAATTATTACAAATTTGTATAATATAAGTAGTATTTAATCATGTTTTAACGTTCAATTATTATCATGGAATTTTTCTTCATAGGCAAAAATTTTGTCAAAAGGTATCATCCGGATAAGGATAATTCTAGAATAACAAAAGTTGTATAGAAAGATACAAAATAAAATGCAATGGATATAAATGTATATAGAAAATAAATTTCCATATAAATGTATTTCCACATAAATATATAAAAATATTAAGAATATTAAATTTGGAAAGAAATATACATATACAAATTTTATAAATATACATAGATGTTGCATAAATATAAACATTTCATAAATATTAAATATACAAATTTTGTTGGATATAATAATAATGTAAAATATAACAATAAAAAGCATTAAATTATAATATAAATAGGAGATACCTAGAAAATTAATTTTGCATACTCTCTTGGAATTGAATTTGCGAACCAAGTGCATATAGAAAATTATTTTGTCACAGTAAATAAACTTTACCACGCGATGAATAAAAAATAAAATAATGATCTTAACAATTCATGATTGTTTTATATTTTTAGAGAATTATAAAATTTGTATTGAAATTATAAAAAAATATATTTACAATAAGTAGGTATAGTGGCATATATAATGTATATGTATGCACATTTTCATATATTTATAAATTTTTTATTTTTGTTATGGCAATAGGCATATTTTTGAAAGAAACAAATATTTTTAGAAGCAATAAAAGAGAATTCTTCTAATTGTTCGTTAATCATTTGATAATAGAAACAGGCTGATAATAATATAAGATATTAAGCATTAAATATTAGTGATACATAAGTAATATCAGTCACTTTCATCCCCGATATCTCTTTCATATATAAGCTTATTAAAAATTTCCTCTTATGTTTAAAAAATAATTATATAAAATATTAAGTTAGAAATTGCTATTTTTAAATCAGAATGTAATCGACAAAAAATCGATAAAATGTTAATTAAATTAATTTCTAGAAAGGATGTGATTAATTATGTAATTACTATGCTAACTGCTTAAACTATTATTATGCTTAAAAATTAAGTTATTTTATTTTAAATAATTTAATTTAAATGTATAATCATTTTATTTTCAATAATTGACAATAATTTGTTGATAATAAATTCAATTATGCGAAATTATAACAATAATATATAAATTTCAAACAAACAAATTACAACAAAATGTGTAAAAATGTAGTTAAAATGACAAGTTAATATAAAATTTATAATTGAAATTCAGTACTCATCATTTTATTCCTCGATGTCCGCCGATACATCTTTTATTGCAACAGTATTCGGAGAGTGGTTCGCGATTCTTTCTGTCGTCCTTCAATGATTGCACTTCACATAAGTATTCACGACGCAAAATTGCAGTTTCAATTAATTTTGTAATTCACTTACTCGCAAATATGATAATTAGCGAGTATTTATCATAAAATGTAACGTGTAAATCTGATTAAAAAGTTTATAACTCTATTGAATTTTATTTTTTAAATCGTTTCATTTTAGATCACGTACAATTCATTTGCAACATGAAATTCACAATATTTAATTTACAAATTCATTTACTATTTATGTTGGAATATTTATATTGTGACATTGCGATTACATTTTTTCAAAATAATAATCTATATAGCGCGAAATGATTATAAATTAAGTTCGGAACATATTTACCAAAAAACGAAAAATGCGATATTTTAATATAAATTTCATTTACATTTATTACTTCGCAACATTCCTGCATAGATCACCTCGCTTCGCAATATTTCTGCGAAAATTATTTTCGCAATATTCTTACAAAGATCGCATTGCCTCGCTATACTCATGCGAAGTAACAAAGCTTAATATTCGCAAATTTTGTGCAAATATCGTTTGATAGTAATTACAACGATGAAATAAAAGCAGTCCAGCAATAACGATAATTATTTAGAAAATGCTAAACAATTTGCAATCGCAAAATAATTAAGAAATAAAGTGTCGCAAAATTTCTATCGTAGAATTCTTTTTGCAAAATTAAATCTTAATTTTATAAAATTTGTATATACTACTCACGTCTAATTGCAAACATATGAATAATAATATGAATGAAAAATTAAGAAACATTGCAATATGAAATTAATAATTATTAATAAATAAAATATTAATAATTCAATAAGTCAAAGAAATAATCAGAAAACGAGGATTGAAATATTTGTTATAGACTTAATTTGAAATTTTTACTCCTATTTGTGATAAAAACAGGAAAAATAGAAAAGTAAAAAGGACCTGTAAAACAGGAAAAGAAAAAGTAAACTGCAAAGTCTATAATTAGAATTTCTACTTTCCTAATATTCGCGGATCTTATTATTTTTTTCACACGCGGAGTAAACACAAAGAATTAAAAATAAAAAATAAATAAAAAATGGAAAATTAAAAACTGTAAAATCTATTAAGATATAATAACCGCAAAATAACGATTTATAATTTACAAGATTATTTTAAAGCTTATAAAATTCAACCGTCAATATCAATGATAAAAAAAGGTCCAAAAAATTGATCCGTATAGAATGGATAAAGGAACGATGTAATGAGGGATATTGATATTGGTAAAGCTTCAATGGTAAAGCCGAACCATATACTTTAGGAAAAAAAAACAATTAGAAAAAGAAAATACATACACACACAAATCAATCGAATTTTTTATTATATTGCGTCAAATATTTATTCAATCGTATGTCTGTTATAAATCGAATAGTGTATTATAATAAGATAGTTCTATAAGCATTTCTACTGCGAATATGTGTTTTCAAAAACCCGAGAGAAACATGATTTTATATCCCTTTTTCGTTCGACACCTTTCATTAAAAAATTCACATGTACACAAGCAAAAATCTAACGTAAAATGTGAATCGGACTGATTTCAGAAATAGCAATTTCTGTGAGAAAATACCATCATCAGCTTATTTTAAATTTTACTCACCAATATTTCTTATTCGGTTACATCTCGCATTCGATTCTGAAACAAGAAAAAAACATAAATAATATATCGCTCATTATAAATATACATCAAACAAGTTTAATAAATAAATTGAAGTATTCTGTGAAGTGATAACACAATTATTAAGATAATTTTTATATATAAAATATTATTTTGGCAAATTACATTAATTATAAGAAAAGAAATTTTTATTATTTTATATATTTATATATAATACATTTAAACATATACTTTTCTATGAATAACACACTAATAATTCTGGAGTTTCATGTATATCTAATCTTGGCCATAAAAGAATATTAGGGCACCTATCTTTTTTAATTTATCTAAAATTCTTTTGCCTGTATTGTTATCTATTGATTATTAATATTATATAATACATAAAATTGAAAAAATTCTTGAAACAAATAATTTACACCAAACACTATAAATCAATTTTTGAAGCTTTAAAACTTTAAATAATAATTAATAAGGTGCTTAATATTTTTTACTAAGGTTGTATGTATATATTTAAATTTATATATATGTTTATGCTTTATTTAAAATTTCTTTACACATTTCGTATATACATAATTCGTATTACATAATAAATATTAATTACTTGTAAAAAGAACGTATTTAAAATTAATAAATTTCAAATGTAAAATGTTAAAAAAAAGAACAACATCTACCTTCGAGTTGATCCTGCTTAATCCGAACTAGATCCTCCGGTATCACAGTTGACAAATCTGCAAAAAGTAAACATTTGTATGTGTATTTGAAATAATAAATAATTAAATTAATTAAAAATAATTTAATAAGGTGCTTCACAGAATTATGTATTAAAGCGAAATTGTTAATACTTTTATTATTTAATTCCTATTATATTATTAAAGAATAATAATAAAAATTTTGCAGTATTTGCTTGATTATAGTCTTCAAAATTAAAGAATATTAAAAAAGTTATTTTGTAATTGTTGACTTTTTTGATTATTTTTGACTATCTTTTTAGTGTTGGATTTAAAATAATTCATTACTACACAAAAAGTAAAAGTAAATTTTTTAAAAAAGATAGTCAAAAATAATCAAAAAAATCAACAGTCACAATTTTTTTTTTAAATTCTTTAATCTTAAAGGTAAGAGTTGATCGAAAGTAGAAGACTATAATCAAGCAAATACTGCAAAATCTTTATTATATTATAATACTATTCTTTAATAATATAATAGGAATTAAATAATAAAGGTATTAACAATTTCGCTTTAAATTTTGGTAAAAATTCATTCAAAGATTACATATCCATTGATTAACGCGATTTATTACACATAATATATTAAATTTCTATTTTCCTATCAGAAATGTAACAAACTATATCGCGGATTAAAAGATTCATTTCAAAATATCAATTGAACATTATACTATATGCCGTAATATGTATATCATTACGAAATGTTATAAAAGAGGTCAGCATTTGTACCTGAATTGTAATTAAATCGTAATATATCGCCTCTAATGTGTAATGCATCATTGTAACGAGATACGATAAAGAGATAGAATTTACAATTAGTTACGGAGTCGCGTTACCTTTGTATTTCATCGTGTTACATTTTATTGCATATATACAAATATTGTTCGCATATTACTGTTGCATATTATGCGCTATGCCAGCTCGTTCAGAGATCGCGACGTCTAAAGTACATATACGTCACCTTCGACCTTTGCACAACTTTAGCCGAACACACGTGTTTGCGACATATATATAGTATTTTAACGGCAGAACGCATCCCATTCACTCACCTGACTTCTGAATGAGTGCTTTTCATTTGATGACACAAGTTGTCACAAATATCGTTCTATCTTTGTTACTCACTGAATATCAAGAAAGACAAAATGATGATGTCGACTTGTGTCATCAAATGGAAAGTATCCAATGTCCGTTCACTTGATTCTTGAATGAATGCTTTCCATTTAGGATTATCCATTCCGAATTACGCATGAAGCGCATAATGCACTTTATCCTTTATTATTTAGTGAACAACAAGGATAAATGATGTATCATGCGCTTCATGCGTAACTCGGAACGCACCATTGATGACACAAGTTGTTACAAATATCGTTCTATCTTTGTTACTCACTGAATATCAAGAAAGACAGAATGATAATTGTGTCGACTTGTGTCA